AGAGGCAATAGACCATGCAAGGGCAGCTATTCCACAAAGCTGTCACGTCCAGGACTGTGTTGTGTGACTGACCAGCAGGGATGCATGTGGAGGCAGGAATTAAATCCGGATGTTTAATTTGTTTAAAATGAAGGAGAAACATTCAAACTACAACTTGTGTGAAGGAAATGGAAATTACAGCAAGAAACCATCATTTATCAGCAGTTGCCTATCAACTTGGGGAAAACGGCGCATCTTATATGTAGTTGTCAAAGAGCAAGCAGTACAGGCTAGATTTGTGTCCTTAGCTGCTAAATAATTGTTTAGGGTCCTGGACAGCCTAGTGCCCCCTTACAGTGAAGCAGAGTGCTCCTGGCACTCCTGGGTGATCAAGGCTGCTCTGGTATGCTGTAAGCACATCGTCAGCATGCAATGCAGACATAGCTCCAAGGGGCAAACCCTGCAGCAGTAATCTTCATATGAAATATCTTCTTTATGTACCCATTTTCACAGATCTGAACTCCCTGATTGTCCATAACACATACATTAGTTTGCTCATGAACCCTCTGCAAACTAATGAATCTTTCAGGCTGATCCCCAGTAATGCTTGCAGGGATAGTCAGCTCCCTGGACAGAGAGGAGAGAGACACCACTTCTTTAAGGCTGCATTGACGAGGGCACCCTCCACCCTATGCAGCCCTAACCCGTCAAGCCTCTGACATGACCTCAGCGTCCAACCCAGCCACCCTGCTGTAAAAGCGCTGTTCTGGCAGGCAACAACATGGCCCCATCACTATGTTGGGCACTAAAGAACAGGTTTCTGTCAAAATGCTCACCGTGGTGGGTAAGAGCTGAATTTGTTTGCAAAAAACGTCCTGCAGACGTGGGAGCTGTACACGGAAGGAACATTTTCCCAACTTGAAAAGAAACTTCTTCAGTGTATAAAAAGAGCTCCCAGGTTGTAATTTGTTATAATTAAACTAGATGAGGCTGATACTGGAAGGAGGAAAGCCAATTAGTTTGGGACGTCAATTTTTGTTTGCCACTGTCAAAGTCTGTTAAAGGAACTTGATGGATTGCTGGGTTGGCTTTTTCAACCAGCTAATCCCCACATGAAACATGGGCAGGAAGCCGGGTGCAGAGAAGCACATTGCAGTTGGCATTGAAAAAAGGCTGCACCTGCCAATGTGGCACTTGGAGGTGACAACGGTGTTGCAACGCCTGAGCTGTGGACAACTGGATGGAGAGGTGAAACTCAAGATCCAAACATGGAGCAGATCCCTGAACAGCAGCTGCAAACAAAGAAACCCTACACTCAAAAGTGTTTGAAAGACAAAAGCCACCAGCTGTTTGGTCTAAAATCTGCCATTTTGGGGCAGGACTACAGGCTTTTGAGTGGTCCAGTTATGTGTTCTCAGGCTTTAAACAAGAAAAGGTAGTCTTGTCACATGTTGACCAGCAACCATACCCCTAGCTTCAAACTCTAATATCCTTATTAATATATGGTAAATACCATCTTCTTAATACCATCTTCTGCACTACTGAAAGAAAGCAGGTATTAAATAAAACCAGGCATAACGCCCAGGGTTTTAACTGGTAGAGTTCTACTGAAAATTATTTATAGTAGCTCATGTCATATCCTAGCACTAATAAAAACCTTCAGCAAATCCAGGCTATGAACTGTTTTGCTTTAGAGAGTTCCTTCAGATCGTAACTGAACTTCAAAAAATTTATTTGTTTCAAATTTTTTGTAAAAAATCTCTATGGATAGGAAAGAGCTGGGGACATCAACCCAACCAATAATTCCTCCAGCAACACCAGAAATTGTAATATATAATCACTCTATGTCACTGTACCAGGGAAAAATCTGTTCATTTCTCGATATAGTTCCTGTTTCCAGGTCCTGAAGACATCAGCTGCTCATTTACAAAACTTGTGGTACCTGGCTCAGTCCTCAGTGAACATGTAGTGCCATATTTCTGCAGTCACATCTCCAGTTTTGCTATCAGTTAAAGTACCGTTGCAAATCTGATTCTCTGTAAAACTTGAATTAAGCAGAAGCTTGGGGAAAGGAAAAAAGTCTAAAAGTTTGAAGGACAGATCTTCAGCTGTTCTAAGTTGTTACAGTATGACTTACTAATGCCACCAGAACAGTTTATACCAACTGATAATCTGCTCTGAGGTTTTAAGATTGTCAGCAAGTTCCGTTTTACAGTACAAACCTAGTCATTTCCTAAAATTGAATGTTACAGTTAAGCTTAAGAAAGCTATCCAAGTTTATTTGGAAAGCCAACACTTATTTCCTATGTGGATGGCTGATCTGGGACTCACCTAAAACCTTACTGAAAGTATGTGTTGCAAAACTAAAGGAAATACTGCTCAAGGCTTCCTACAAAAATGTTAGCCAATATGTTCTACCGTGTTGGAGGACACAGCAATTAACATTCAAATCCATTTATTATTCTCAAGATGTTTTTCCCCAACATGTACAGATTGATTGATACTATTTTTTGTGTCTCAATTTAGGGAAACAGTTTCCCTCTGCATTGCAGCATGCATTTTGGCTTGTTCTAATGAAGACAAATTCCGCTCAATCGGGGTCGTTCTGTTCATTAAGTGAGACAGATAGCAGACTCGCTGTATTGGTAATGATTCCGAGATTTTAAGCATATTTGGGAGATACTGGTTTGTGTTCCTCATCTAAAAAGTGATCGATATTTCAGATGGAAGAGAAATCAGGTTCTGTCTGTGCAGAACTTTTGTGGCATGTACACAGTTTTTCGTTAGCAAGCTGAAAACCTGAAGGATCCACAGAAAGCCAGGGTTTAGACACATTCAGACAAATTTGTAAAACATGGTCCAGCAGACGTGTCTGTCTTGGTAGAAAATTAAATAGATGCTTCCAAAGCTCTGCCAGAACAGAGTGTGAATCTGTGCAACCAGCAGGGATGTAGCGCTCCTTCCCTTTCCTCCCGCCTGGTCCTGAGGGCAACGCTAGGTTCAATTGGAGGCCTAATCTGCCAGGCCATAATAATTAATGCCAGGAAATTAATGCTGACATGTACAGCCAAAATGGGAACTGTGTTGATCATAGGAATCATTGTGCTAGATGCCCACGTCCTGGGCTCTCTCTGTACTTGAGAAAGTTGAAGCAAGGCAGCTTCTGGAAACTCTTAGACTGAACGGTGCTCAGATATCCCCGCCTCCAAAGTTCTGGAGCCATCACAAACACAGAAGGCTGCGGGCACTGGCTAGGTAGACATCATCATTGTTTAAGGCATCATGTAAAGAACAAAATAATCTTTCGTGCTAAGCAGAAGTAAAATATTACAGAAGTATATATAAATATTTTCACCTTATTAAAGTATTACAGCTATAAAGCAATTCACACTGTATCTTCTTCATGATGCCTCAGAAATGATATTATTCATATTAGTTTTGTGACAAACTACCTGTTTTTTAGTGCTAAGATGAGATCTTCAAGATGGGACAAACCTGGTACTTTGCAGTATTCCAGAA